AGTTGGTCCCTAGGGTAGTGGTCTATTTCCAAATCATGAGTGCGTACATTGGCGACTTCGGCAGCGACCCTCAGCTCCTGAACATGGTTGGCAGTTTCCCTGTTCAGATTTCCCAAGTTCATGATGTGCTGGATCACGAAGGGGAGGGCTTTATCAGCTGGTCCTCCGTGGGTGAGGTCGTAATAACCTTGTTGATCGCCAAATGGTGATCGTTGTCGCTGTTGGCGACCCCATCTTTGAATCTCAGTTGCCCAACGGGGTTCAGGTCTGTTGTAACCAAACCGGTTCACATGGACCCTAACTATGTAAGGAGGGTTGATGACCTCCGACTCTTCCTCCGGCTCCTCCTCAGCTTCTTCGACCTCCATTTCTTCTTCAAATTCTTCCTCGTCCACTTCTTCTTCTTCCTCGAGGTTTTCCCCGTCCACTTCTTCCTCTTCCTCGGGGTCTTCCTAGGGTTCCTCTTCGGGATCCTCCTCCGGGTCTTCTTCTATCCAACCCCTGTTGCCTTGATTCGGGAAGTAAGGGTCTCCTGGTAGATGGAATCCAGCCATGATGTCTGTACGAGAATAGGGTTGTAAGAAGCACATAATGAATCTAAAAATATTGTACTTTAGTACATAAAATACTCCTATAGTATTTTAAACAATTTGTTTGACTCTAATTGAAGTTTCGGTATGAATGTTGGTATATTAATAAACTTGTTGCCCACTACAACCATCCCCCGATATATGTTAGTCACTTCTCGGACGAATATAGTTGATCATGCTATATTCCTCCTAGACTTAATTACATACCCCGAGGCATAATGTTAGTGTACAACCCATCCATTTTTATTTTACTTTTCATAATTTATCCTAGATGGGCCACTATACCGACATGCATGTATGTACTTATACTTTTTATAAAGAAAATATTTCATTACCAAAAATATAGTTATTTGAAAAATGTTTAATCAAAGACTTTTAGTCCCAATGTATTTATAGTTTGTATATCTTATGTGGTTTGATAAACTATGTTCACTATAAACAATGCTCTGATATCAATCTGTCACACCCCCAAACCCAGGATGGCGGAAACGTCCGAGGGTGGAGGACTTCATGTACAGTATCACAACAACGAGTATAATAGTGCTCAAAGTACAAACAATCATAGTATAAGTTTACATGTTTCTAAATCAATTACATTATGTTGACAAAAATACAATGTTTGACGCCTTAGCGTTCTATCCTCAAAAGTTGTTGTTTGCTTGTTTCACTGATGCCCTGATAATACAAGTAGTTTTGAAGAAGTGTCAACAATTAAGTTGGTGAGTTCATAAGCTTTTTGAATAAAATGTTGAAATCCTTCCTTGTAAAAGTAATGTTTGTTCTAGAAAATCCAATATTTTCCCTTTTAAAATGTAGTGTAGTCTTAAATGCCAAGACTAATAGTGTACTAGTATTTTTCCATATAAAATTGTAAATCATGCAAGTTTAAATTGACATAAACTTGTTAGTTTAAATGGAAATCCCATAAATCTTATATTTTGTTAATACCCCATGTGAGTTATTATAACCATACTATGACTTAGTTGGCCTTGTACACGACGTTTTTCAGGCGTCAGAATGTTAATGACAATTGTCACCCCAGACCTATCGGTCTAGCTATTGCATGCAACTAAGGTGTGTGTTTGTCAAACTCAATATAGATCTATACAGAACTATCACGTTCTCCCTACAAGAGATTATGGTTATAATTACAGGATTTTTGTTGCGCTACTTTAGAAGTAACGTGAAGCGAATGTCTCACAAATTTATTCATTAACAGATTTACGTAGCATGAAATTGAAAACCCCTTTTTGTAGAAATGTACTCTTTCGTCATGTATATGTAACATAAAATATACATATTATAGTTTATCAAAATGTTTTCAATGTGTGGTATTCTTTTTCTGTGTAAGTAGAATATATAGCAAAACATAACTATGTTTACTAGGCCTCATCATGTATTAATCGTAATAATAAAGAGCTCTTACAATATAGTGAACATTTTTCTGTAATATAATTATATCCCAACAGAAAACACATGCAAAATATGAAGCCATCAAAGATTTACACTTTGCTCAACATGTTACAAAGTGTTATTAAAGTTGAAATCTGTAACTTCGTTTTTACCATTTCTGCACCGATTTAGAAAAATCTCAGAAAAATCATACGAAATCGAAAACTAGCTCCGTAAACTCTAAGAGTTTAGAAAATGTGTCTAGTTTGTTCATAGATTTTTTATGATTTTATAAGCCCCTAACTGGTGTGAAAATGCTCATATTCACAGATAGGTCTGAATTTGTAGCTACATTGATAGGTAGTTTTGTAAAAATCACTATAAATTGTAGAAAAATCGTATAGATATATGAAAGTAGTCATTTTAAAGGTATAAACCTGAACTATTTGTATCTATTACAGTTGTGAAAACTAAAAAGTTTAAGATGGTCAAAATAGTTCGTGAATGAACATTAACTTTTATTTTGAAAGCTGATGTTTGAGTTTAGTTATGTTGTTGTTGTTTTAACTTGTATTATCCCCCTAAACTTGAAGAAAACATGAAAATGTGGGGGTATGAACTCAATTTGAGTGATTTTAGTAGATGGATGATGAAGAAAAGGAGTTTCCAAGTCAAGAACACTTGGGAGGTACTTGAGGATTCGAAGATCTAGTAACAAATATGATGATATTTGTGTAAGGAATCCATGATTTGAGTGAAAGGATGAAAGATAATCAAATGTAGGATGAAGTTACTTATCAAAATTAGAGGGAAATGCTCAAGAATAGCCTTCAATTTCGAGTTTTAAAGAGAGAAAGTGAGAGAGATTTGAGTTTGATTCTTCTTGAGAAAGAGTGACTAATGTGGGAAGTGAAGTGAAGATTTCCAACCCTTTGATCTGATTATGGGTTGGTGAAAGAGTGTGAAAGGACAACTAATTGACTAAGTATTGAGGAATGGTGACTGATTATGACCCTGGAATGGGTGTTGTGGGTTGCATGTGTCATAAATTAAAGGCAAAGTCAACACTCCACCTCAATAACTTACCCACTAGATTTTATTCTTAAATAAAGATTTCCCTAAAAATGTGTTTAAGTTATAAATATTTAGGGTCTTGTATGTCAAAATATGAGTTTGGGTGAAAATCCCACGTCAAAATCACGAAAAGCGGGCTTAAAACGTGAAAGTGGTCGAAAACCGGTAAAAGAAGCAAAATCTGCGAAGTTCGAAAATGGGGGTCGAGGGTTCGGTCTTCAGGGGTTGGGAACCGAAGGTGGTTTCGGTTGTGGGTGAGAGCCGAGAGGAGCTTCGGTTCGGGAAATCTCACAGGCGAGAAAGGAAAGAAGCGAAATGGAGCGAAGGCGAAGAGGCGAAGGCGAAGTTTGATCCTCTGGGTTTCGGGTTCGATTCCTCTAGCAGGTTCGGTTCTTATTGTTTCAGTTTCGGTCCTTGCGAGGTTCGGTATGTGCAAGTTCGGCTCCCTGATTTTGGTTTCGGTTGCTTCGGCTTCGGCCCCTCAGTTCTTAGGGGTTTCACTTCTTAGGGTTTCGGCCCTAAGAAGGTTTTGGCCCTATAAGGTTGTTTTTAGCGTATACCCCCAATTTTGCGTAGTTTTTGGCTAAGTTAAGGGTTGGGATGCCCCCACATCATTTTAAAAAGTTGGGGGAGGTTATGAGAGAGATTTAGGAGAGAGAGAGAGAGAGATAGAGAGAGAGATTGAGAGAGATTGAGAGAGACTTCGTTTGTGACCTTTTTGGATGTTTAGCTTCGCAACGCAAGGTTTGTACACCCCGTTAAGCTCCGTTATGATGGTTATATGCCCCCGAGGGGTATGGAATAATGTTTTATCAAATATTTTTATCACTTACGCCGATTAGGGTTTAGAATTTCTGAACGTACAAACTTTCCAAGTGATAACTTCCTATTAAAATAGCGACTTGTACAATAGTAACATAATGTCAAACCTAATATACAAGGGTTAGATGAGTTGACCGGTTTGACCTGTTGACTTTATTTGACTTTAACTTGATCGAAAATTGACGGTTGTCACAATTATGGATTGGATCTTCGAGATGGAGATGGTATTTGAAAGCTGTAACTGTAGCAACAAGCATAAAACCGTCTTTTGCAGTCAAACAACTAAAGATTGAAGTTTTAAGTTGGTGGAAGTCGTTGGCAGATACAATGTCATGGGGAGAAACCCCGAGGATGTCTTGGGAAGCATTCATGGAGCAATTGAAAATGCAATATTGTTCAGAGATAGATCTAATAGACCTAAACGAGTTTCGGAACCTAAAGAAAGGGAAGATGAGTGTTGACGAGCATGTCACCGTATTGTATGACACTTGTCAATAGCAGATTAAACTTATTTTTTTATTATATATATATATATATATATATATATATATATATATATATATATATATATATATATATATATATATATATATATATTAATTACCTTATAAAGCATTTTTGGTCAAATGCTGAATTTTAAATCGTATAAACATACAATGCATTTGTACAATCAATTTATGCATTACAAAAAGAGTAGAGTACATATGGTCAACAGTTGAAAATGTCAAATTTCTTATCCCCTATTTTTAGGCTATTTTGACCCGGTTCATTCATTATCTCCGTATTTCCTCAAATCTCGCAATTTCTGTTCATAAATCTTGGATATATATCGCTGACGTTTCCATTTCTAGGGTTTAATTCATCTTTCAGCATTCAACCACCATTACCACACCCGTCGCTTGGCATGGGTAAACGGCTAGTGTATATATATATATATATATATATATATATATATATATATATATATATATATATATATATATCTCCAAATTTTTTTGATAATTTAATAATGGCTTTGGTATAATTTGACCTATTTTAACATTTTCTTAAGAAATGGGTACCCGCACCGTATAATGCACCGTATAATGGAATACAATACATTCAGAAACCCTGCCCCGAACATGTTGATCGCGGCACGTGGGACTAATCTCTTTCCACGAGTCGCCGCTGCGGTTGCTCTACGCCTAATTAACGCCTCTATCCCGTAAGAACTTTTAGTCAAATCGGACGACCCTCCTCACCCAATTAAAACCTGCCCATAAAACGTCACTTTCCCTTAAATACACTACCAACACCGATTCTTATCACATCCTCGACAATGGCGACCAAAACCCTACTCCCCCTAATCCTGACCCTGCTCGCAGTCGTCTCCTCACCCACCGCACTCTCCGACGACCCAGCACCCACGGTCTACGATATCCTCGACAAATATGGCCTCCCCACTGGCCTTCTGCCCGATTCCGTCAAGTCTTACTCTTTCTCCCCCGACGATGGAAGCTTCGTTGTCGAACTACAGAAACCTTGCTATATCCAGTTCGATTACCTTGTGTACTATGACAGTAAGATCACTGGGAAGCTCAACGTCGGATCAATTACTGATTTGGATGGGATCCAAGTGAAGAGGTTGTTTTTCTGGTTCGATGTTGATGAAATTAGGGTTGACTTGCCAAGTTCCGATAATATCTACTTCACTGTTGGGTTTATTAATAAGAAACTTGACATCGATCAGTTTGAGACGGTCCACTCCTGTACAGATAACGCCCTTGTTGCTTGCGCTCAATCATCCAATCCTATCTCTCAGGTATTGTTTACTAGCTTCTTAGTTACAGAAGAGCATGATTACTCTTTTACTTTTTTTGTGTTTGAGATCCAGTGTTGTTGATTTGGCTATTAATGTTAAATCAACTCCATTATTCATTGTAGTGAGCAAATCTATCCCTATATTTATAGGGATCGATACTTTCCTTAAAGAACTTACAGTTCTTGAATGCAAAAACAAACCTTGTTTCACACTTCTTAGGTTTGTTGGATGATCTAATTGTTCCGATGTGGATAAATGTCTGGTTTACCTAACACACAGCACAGGGGCAAAGTTTTCTGTTTGGGTAGCTCATAAGATCATTCATTCTGTTGTTGAAAAGTTCGTTGTCTATGTTACAATTTACTAACCAAAGTCGCTATACAGGGGCAAAGTTCTCACTGATCTTGATGATTACGTAACGAGTACTAATATTGTGTGTATATTCTTGTTTTGCAGCTTCCTATTACTGTTGATGAGGTTGAAATGCTGATCACGGAGTAGATGCAAGACCTTTAAAGGTTTGATGATAATAAGAGGCATATTTGTATCCTGTCTTTTTGAAGGTCAGAAGCCACTAGGCTGTGCCAATGGTTGAGCCTAGTTGAGCCTCTTGTACGAGTAAAATGGTGTTAAAAGTTTGGGAATGTGTTCTAAGAAGTGTATAATATTGTGTTAGATATCATATCGTATTAGTTTTCCACTATGTCATATGTACCCTTGTATTAGCCACTCATGAATAATGTAGTGTTGTGGTTTACCTATTTTCTTTATGTTGCAAATGATGCGTGATTCAAAATTAGAGTGGATATATGCAATTATCCATTGCTAATGATATTGAAGGTTGCTAAGGACCCAAGACAAGCCATATTACGCAAGGAGCGTTTTGATAACACACAGCTTGACAAGGTTTAAACGATTACAAAATGCCGTCTCTTTAACTTGTGAGATTTATTCCGCTAAACACATTTACTGCTTTCTTATATTTGGGTAATAAATCATTAAATAAGTCCAATTAGTTGGCAAATGATGAAGCAATAGTAATACTATTGCTTTCAAATTGTTTGGTTCAACACTTGTGTCTGGTACTTGATATGCTAGTGTCTGGTACTTGATATAATACTTAATAAAGTAACTTTGCTTTATTGTTTGGTTTAACGGATACAAAATGGTACTTGATATAATATTTTAAAAGGTAACTGATTTTAATCACTTATAAAATAAAACGCTTATTAGTGTATATGCTTCTGTTGATACATTCATGAGGAGAAATAGAAGGGACTTGACCCTATATAGACGACCTTACACGTGATACAAACAAAAATGAAAACAAAATGACACATTCTAGAGATGACACATTCTAGACCTTACACGAACTTGCTACTTGGTACCTGTTCGACCGACTACTGACTAACGAATACTCGGATTTGGTAATTCACGTAGAAATAGTTTTAAGAAAATTATATATATAAAAATCATAAGTTAAAACCATATGTTGATTGAAATATATAACAAAAAATAGATACATGTGAAAAAATAAATAAATAAATAAATAAATAAATTAATTAATGGTTCCACTTTGTGAATAATTATTGAAAATTTAAGATATATATATATATATATATATATATATATATATATATATATATATATACACACTAGTTTATAACCCGTGGAAACCACGGTTACAAAATTAATTAAATTTTCTTAGTGAGAGTTCAAAAATTATTAATTAGTTATTTTAAATAAATTACTAATTAACAAATATTTTTTTAGTTACATAAAGTTATAATCGCTAATTTAAATAAATATATGAAATATTATATCAACTATAATTTGTATTAATTTTATTTTAACTTTATTCTAATGTTATTAATTTAATTTAATTAGAGTGAGAAATTTAAAATTTGAAATTTGAAATGGAAAACTAATAGATTGACAAGTAGTATGCATTAATTAATGGCTTAATATGGTGATAAATGGCAAAAGATGAATAAAATATGTATTAATTAAAAGATCTAATATGATGACACATATCAAAAGGATGTTAAAACTATTCTTTTATTAGAATAAGGATATATATATATATATATATATATATATATATATATATATATATTATATATATATATATATATATATATATACATACACGTAGTAATAGTCACATGTGTATGTGTTAAATAATAAATCATTAAGTATATTATACATATTAATCACTTAGTTGGAGTTTTACAACCCTGCTCCCTTCAATAAGGGACTGATCGGGGAGTACTCGGATTTTGTAACTCGCTTCGGTAAGAGACCGAATAACGAGTATTCGGACGAGTAATTGGCCAACTCGGTGAGTTTTACAACACTGGGTAACACCCTCCCATACTTGATTATGTGACGTCCTTATCGCGACTAAACTTCGGTCGTAACTCTCATGTTTCAAATGCCAAAGAAATCTTCCTTCTATATCTTGATTATTTTTGGTATTGGAACGTCTTCTCTTGGTCTTCCTTTTTGAGTTAGCATCATCCCACGATTAGTGATATCTCTTGTTGGTTGTGACGATTTGTTCTAATATTCTCTTAGGTATTGTAGGAACGAGATTGTAGCCTTACATCTATTCTTTTTCATCAACTCAACCACCCGCATATTGTTACCATCAATGATTACCAGGGAACAACTCTTTGGGATTGGGAAGGTATTGGCTTCATGGAAAAAAGGTCGTTCCCAATATGATCTTGAAGTCATCCACATGTACTAGTGAATGTACCTTTGTCTTGGTGGTACCGATGATTCAACTTGATTTTGATTTTACTACCTCAATAGTGTTGTAACTTGGTGTGTAGTGAATGCCCAATCTTTTGGCTTAACATCCAAGAAGCCACCATGTGAATCAATACTCAGTTTATCGTATCATTGATCATAAGGTTGGCGAACAATAACATTGGGTCTTATTTTTCCTTTTAGGGAATGACCTTAGTCAAACATCCAAGAAGCCACCATGTGAATCAATACTCAGTTTATCGTATCATTGCATCGTATCGATGTGGACTTGTTCTTCTTCCTCGTATTTATCCTTTATTTTCTATACTAAGTTACTCATGGGCCATGGTTTTCTTTTGTGGACAATGTTGTGTCTAATGCACCTTGTCGCATATGAAACATATTATTGATGACTTCGACTTGATTTGATTCAAAAATACTGAATCCAACGATCTTATCATATATGAATCATATATGATGTTGGTTTTCTTGTGCTTTCTTGTGCTATTGAACATAGCTGATTTAAAGACTTTAAACCTTAGGAAAGATGCACAATAGACTTTACTTGATGTTATTGCTTTGGATTGTTGATCACTTAAATATCCTCTTTTCCCGGTGCATTGCATCTAGCTCCCATGCATTTTAAGGAGCTCGTTCTCAACAAACTTTGCAAGCTTGATACTCCTCATTTCGTGTACCTCATTTCCAATGTTGTTTATTATGGACTTAGTGGTTACAACGGTTTCAGAATTCTCTTGGGTGGGTAGCTGGATTGTTTCTTTCGTCCCTCATGTAATCCATGAGTCCATCTACAAAAAGCTCAAATTGGGAAATGTAAGGCTCCATTACTTCAATGGATATGCCTATATGAGTTAGTGATTTGCGTCTAACTTGGACCTTTTGAACTTGTCTTTTGGTGGGAATTGTTCCCGCCCACGGCCCATACACATGCTCATCTTGTACCTTGCTCTGCCTATCATCATGCTACATTTTCCTTTAAAGTTTAAATTTTGAACAATGCTCTTACACCACTTGTGATGGGGTCCATTTCTCGCACGTGTGACACTCAATAATCTTGTTATCAAATAGTCGAGTAAGCCTTAAAATGGGAGTTAGAAGACGCCTGAAGCACTTGCAATTTATATTGGGACCAAGAATGCTAAGAGGGGATTCTTATACTTAGAGAGGGCTTAATAACTCTCTATTTCTCCCAAAAAGATGAAGTGAGTACAAATGAAAGGGACTTGGCCTTGCATGGAATAAAATAGACACCAAAACAAAAGGGCACCTTCTAGAGATTACAAAGGAAACTAAGAGAAGCATCTAGAATTATATAAGTATCAGGTGGGCTTAGCTCCTTGAATCGTACCAATAATTTTGGGCCATAACATTGAGGTCTGCTTTGAGGTCCAGTTTTGCACATATCTGTTGGCTGTTCCATCTCCATGTTTAAGTTCATCATTAATCCATAATTCCATACATTAAGAGGACCTCTTCCATTTTTATTAATTATATATTCTCATGTATAATCTTATAGTTCTATTACTAGTTCCCATGCATACATAAGATATGTGTTGCCTTAGTATATGACTCATCATTGCCTCCATTGCCGCCAACTTCAGCATTTTCGGTTATGAAGATTGACACTCTCTTATGAAACTTGCACTAACTTCTTGTCGTTCCCCATTCCACCATTTATTATTAAACGGTTCACATACAACTATTAACAAGAAACATGATTCTTAACAATTAAGGTTCTGAAACAAATAATTATAACATACTTGTACTTTAAACATTCCATCTTTTTTATCCACTTCGAAGTCCTATGGGATTGTTACTAACTAAATAAATAAGTCATTTCTTAATATTCATGAGTCTTAGCTCTCATAAGGTTTACCTCTTGTCCTGAGCCTCCCTTTCGAATTGCTAACACTTTATTCATGTTCAAATAAACAGTCATTCTAATTAGTGATAAACCATGCTTTTGAAAACTAATGATATTGCAATGCAAAAGATACTTGTTCCACGTGAAGCTCCTCTTAGTTCATCTTAAGCAACTATTGATGACATCACCTCTTGTAGTCTTGTTATATCTATATGACTTACATACCCAAGTATATTTATTTCTAAACATTTCTTCACTTAGGCATGTGGTTTAAGGTCTGGTTTTGGCAGACTATTTGAAAAACCAGTTGATATATTATAAACTAACTTATGAATTAATAGCGTTTGGTAAAAAAAAAAAATAACCGATAAGCTAGATTGCAAATATAAAATGATATAAATAGATACTTAGATATAAAACTAAAAAGTAGTATTAGGTATAATCAAGGACATAGTTGGAATATTTTTGAGATATTTTATAAGCTTCTCAAAAGCTATTTCAAAGTAGCTCATCAAAAGCTAGCTTATAAGTTACAATAAGTTACTTTCTTTTTTACACCAAACAACAAATTGCAATATGCTAGCTTATATTCGCAAGACATGATTAAGACATCCAGAGCTTAGATGAGGAAGAATGTAATGACTCACATATTACAAGACAAATATGTCTCAGAGAATCTGAAACATTCGCTGTATACTCCCGCTAATTTGTAAAACACTTTCAACATTCCATTAATCCATTTAGGTTCCTCGTAGCTTCATTTACTTGATTTATGTGGTTGATCAATTTGGACAGATCAAGTCCGTGACATTAGACTACATTTTGTTAAAGGTTCGACTTAAAAGGCCTACATCTATTATCATTACAAACTTCTACCTAAACCAAATTGACAATAATATAACTTTTTATCATGGTCTTAAATGTCACTTGTCACTCGTCAGAATTTACATAGATGACAATTACGAGACTAGAAAGTCAAAAATCTGTAATCAACAACACGAAGTTCATTTCATAAATATGCTACCAATATCTGAAAAGGGCAAAACAGTCTCAAAATTAGTTCAAAGTTTCTTGCTTTCTCACCATTTGTACAAGACCTAACTTATCTCTGAGTTTGCAATTACCACCATGCCCTATCTTCGCTTTCCTCTTTGTGGTTCTTATTTGCAGCCGTTGAATCAACTGCTAAAACATGATCACAAAACAGAAAACACGTTTCTTCATGCTTGAAGCACTTGACAATGCACAATGTGGGTCTTGAGACTATTTCTACCTGATAAACTTGACCAAATATTCGTGAGCAATGTTTTCATCTGACCTTTTCCAGCAATATTCTCCCAAAGGTAAGGATTACTCTCCACTTGCTTATCAGGGCTCAAAATATCAACCAAACTAATACTCATATTATTTCTAATAATACACAACTTCCCATTCAAAGAAACAAGAGCTGCAGCCTCCAAAGCACGCGAACTCCCTAAATGAACCTTACTATCAATAAACCTTTTCCAAGAATTCGAATCCTCTTCATAAACCCTAATCTTACACCCATCGCGACAATCCAAAGCGTAAAGCTTTCCATTCATGGAAATACTAGGGTTCCGCCAACCACCAATCATCCCATTCGTGACAGACTCCCATGTATTCGATTCCGGGGTATACGCTTCACTCAAAACCTCCCGGTGGGCCCCGATCCCCTTCAAGAACCACTTCCCGTTATGAACCACACCTATAAATGGCACCATAGCAGTGCTCATATCCGATATAAAGTTCCATCTGTGTTTATTCGGATCATAAACTTCTGCTGACCTAAGCGTCCTATGAATCCCCTCACATTCACCTCCCGCTACATAAAGACAGTTGTTTATCACACAAGCTCCAAAAAACTGTCTTTTTCTAAGCATATCGGGAGCTCTATGCCATTTATTTGTTCTTGCACTATAGAACACAACACGTCTCATGGAACCCTTAATCGGGTCTTTACCACCGAATAGATAAAGATGACACCCGCTAAGAACCGCACAACCGAACCCGAGGGCCGACCCGTATTCCACCGGGACAGGTGGCAGGGGCTGCCATAGTTGGTAGGTGGGGTCGAATGCATGCCAAGAAATACGCCCATCACGATCTCTTTTGAACACATACACCCATTCTTCTGCCATTCCTAAGCTTTTCCTAAGGGAATAGAAGTAGTTACCTGAGAGGAGTCTGAACCATCTTTTGCAGACTAATCGGAGCTTGTTGTGTTCGGCTCGTGGGACCCGGATTAGGCACGCGATGGCTAGGTCGTCTGGGAGACCAGGGAGGAGAGGGGGTTGGACCCTGGTTCTTTCCCTGCGACTGTTTTTGGACTTGTGTGCTCGTGGGTTGATGTCGGGTTGGATGCAGAGTTTTGATCCGGGGACAAATTTTCTGGCACCTGCTACTGTTTTTAAGCCTGCGTCGACTCTACAGTAGCATGAAACGGACTCCACCTGAATCATTTCTCGATGTTAGTAACCAAATTAATTCGGCAGATTTAACAAACAGCATCAAGAATAGAGCCTAATTGATGATTTATGAAAAAGACCTAAAGTCTGATGTCTTCGCTGACAAACATGTAGCGATGGTAACAAAACAACAAAACTGAAGCTTTTACATTCGAAACCAGGCTGATAGATCGTACACATAGCTACAGAAACAGACATCAGGTAGAGCGGAGATAGGTATGCTCAAGAAATCCAAAAACAAATTACATTTGATATAAGCTTTTTATCCCCAAATTCTGATGAAAACAAAATCCCCCACAATTGAGTTTAAAGAGACAAAACCCACACCATGAGTAATGAGTAATGTCAGGATTTCTTGAAAATTCTATTCGATTTCATCTGGATATCTATAAATACAGCTCAGGAACAAAATGATTCTGTAAAGAGAGAAGTCAGACGACCTATTTTACATGTAATGTCAACAATTCCTGAAAAAATGTTCGTTTCATCTGGGTGTCGTCATCTAAATCCTCGCGAGACACAGAAGCTGTAAGCAAGAAGAAGTCAAAGAAGAAGCGGGACTCACCAGGGGAGCTTGAAGTCGAAAACCCCTTTGTTGAACATTGGGAGACCGTTCGGGTTCAGATAATTGAGCCATCCAACTCACAATTGCAGTAATTTCATGCGATTAAATAATTTTTCTTCGGATACGAACACGCAAATCAAATAAGTAAAGATGTCGGAGTAGTACGTATCTTAGATCAAGAGAAAAGGGCGAGACCAGCAATCTAGAAATCTGATCCCAGGATTACAATATTCGAGAAAGAAATATGATAAACCCGAAACCTTTTCAGTAATTGTATACAAAAAAATGCGAAGAGAGAACTGAGAAGAGAGTGTGTTGGTGCTTCAACTTCAAACTTGACAGATTTGAAGCAAAGATTGAAAAACGCGAGAGGAGTAGACTATTTTGATGAACTGAGAAATCCTAGCTGGACCCGTGTTTGATTTGTTGTTAATGATGTTAGGTTATAGAACATTCAATTCAATGAATTCGAATTTATTAATCAAGAAATGAAGAAAATAATAAAGAATAGAAATTGTAGTGATTAGTTGATGGATTGTAGACTTCTAAAGTAAAAAAAATTCAACTTGGTTGGTCAACTAATGTTAAGGTTCTTCTAATAAATACTTATTTTTTTACCAAAAATAAATTGCATATATTATTCGGTTATTATTCCATGTAGTGATAACTAATTCATGTAGTTAATATTTCCATAATAAAAATAACAAATGTCATGATTTGGGGGATGGTGAAAAGGTAATATGGTCTGTAACGGTTCTACTTTTAAATCAGTTATAGTTTGGTTAAAAAAACGGAAGTTATATTTTTAAATACCTTTTGTAAACTTTTAGATTATATTATCTATTTATTTATATATTGCGATTATGATTTCACTTATTATTTTTGGTAGTAATCCATATTGAACTTTAACTTTAAGAAAATGTTTTCATTATTAAATAATAAAAGCCAACATTGTTGTAGTGATTAGGTCAAACCGCAAAATGTGAATGATTGTGTAAATATGTTTTGAACTTTTTATTACATTTCGCATTTTAAGGGTTTTTTATTATTCTGACTTTTTTGCCAATTATTGTGACTTATTTCATTAAATTACTCAATGCTAAAAGGTTGACAACTTTGTGTGATTAATTTAACCTGCATAATTTATAATTCTATGAGATAATCACCTAATTAATTTATGCATATATTTAATTTTACATATTAAACAAGGTTATCTAGGCTTGTCATAATTTTCTTATTTTACTCCGTGATGAACAACTATAATGATGAATTTATAAATTTTTTCATCAATCTAATTAGCTGGTTAACTACGATATAAGCTTATAAATTGGGTAATTAAATTTAATACATGTTAAATTCATTTTGACATGTTTATGCTGTTAATACTCTTCTTTGCATTATAATGGAATACATGTGAAATAATTAATAAATAATCATTTAAGCAGAGAATGTCTTAAACATGCAACCCCTTAATTATTATCATAAAATGATCATTATTATTATTATTATTTTTTTTTTTAACATCATGTTATTTTATTTTATAGAACTTAAACCTGGATCAACTCTATCTTGGAACATCCACAATCCATTAAACTTCACATCACGATTTCATTTTTTATTCAATTTTATTTCTTAACATCCACACTTCATTAAACCCTGTAAAGTTTAATGAAATTCTATAGGGAAATCTTCATAAAAATTCCAATATTTACGGAAAAGTTACACTTTAGTCTTAAAATTTTGTTTTTTGAATGCAAAAGTCCCGAAAACCGGCAAAATTTTGCAGTTTGATCCTTTTTGACCGGTTGAAACCGGTACCAAATTAATTTGGGACTATTTCGTAACCTAATCCAAAATATTGAGATTTTTCGGTAAACAAAAAATATTATGATTTTTCTGTAAACAAAAATATTATGAATTTTCTACAAACAAAACCCTTAATATTAATATTATTATTATTATTATTATTATTATTATTATTATTATTATTATTATTATTAAAATATAAATAAGAATACTATTTTTTGAATTGTTATTATAATACATATGAATGCATTTAAATGAAAATAATAATATTAATGACATTGTTTAAGGGTAGAGGTGGAGGAGATGTTGATGCTTTTAGCATTGAAATCATGAATGTTTGCTTGTATATTTTTACTTTGTATATGGTCATTTCACATTTGTTGTTATTGTTTTCAATTCAGAATAATAATACTTAACAATTTAAAAAAAGTTGCATATTTGTAAAATTGTTTATAAATAGTTTAAGCTAGAAGGATTTTTCACCTTGTATATAAAAATGTTTAAGGTAGAAGGATTATTTTTCAAACCCAACAGATCCACTACAAACATCTACATAGGTAGCCCATATCAAAATTAAAAAAATATTAATTCCAGTATCTTGTTTAATAAAAAGTAATAGGAATAGGACATGTTTTTTGGATTAATACTTTTGAATTAGTCCTATTACTTTTTATTAAACAAAATATATTAATTAATACTTTTGAATTTTGATATGAGTTATCTATGCAGATATTTGTAGTGGATTTGTTGGATTTGGAAAGTAATTCTTCTACCTTAAACAATTTTATATACAAAGCGAGAAACCATACTACCTTAAACTATTAATATGCAACTTCTTTCAAATTATCAAACATTAATATTCTGAATTGAAAACAATAATAACAAATATGAAATGACCATATATAAAGTAAAAATATACAATCAGACATTCACGATTTCAATGCTAAAAGCATCACCATCTCCTCCACATCCACCCTTAAACAATGTCATTAATATTATTTTTTTCATTTAATGCATTTATATGTATCAGTAACAATATTAATAATAACAAGTTCAAAAAATAGTATTCTTATTTATAATAATAATAATAATAATAATAATAATAATAATAATAATAATAATAATAATAATAATAAAAGTTCTGTTTATAGAAAAGTCATAATATTTTTGTTTATAGAAAAGTCCTAATATTTTTTGTTTACAGAAAAATCTCAATATTTCGGATTAGTTTACGATATAGTCCCAAATTAATTTGGTACCAGTTTCAACCGATCAAAAAGGGTCAAATTGCAAATTTTTGCCGGTTTTTGGGACTTTTTCGTTCAAAAAAAATCTTGGGACTAAAATGTAACTTCTCCGTAAATATTGAGACTTTTCCGAAGATTTTCTGATTTTTATATCATCATCACTATATTTTTAAACATAATTATAAATTTAAAAATAAAAAATATAACAGTTTAAAAAATATAATATTTAGCAATACACTAATTAAAAGTTAGAGTAAATTACTAAAATCATCCCTATGGTTTGATCAAAATTACATGTTTGGTCCCTAACTTTTTTTTTTTTGCACTCGGATCGTCCCTGTGGTTTGATTTTGTTGCGTTTTTCATCCCTGTGTTTTGATTTTGTTGCATTTTTCGTCCCTTACATACATAAAGTTAGAGACCAAACATGCAACTTTTACCAAACCATAGGGACGAAAGACGCAACAAAATCAAACCACAAGGACAATCCGAGTACAAAAAAAAGTTAGGAACCAAACGTGCAATTTTTACCAAACCACATGGACGATTTCAGTAATTTACTCTAAAAGTTACGAAGAGATACATCACGTACATTAAATAACATAATATACAAAATATGGTTAATTTTATTTGTGGTTTAACAAGAAAAATACAAAAGTAATATAAAAATATGATTACATTTATATAGTTTAAAATTTAATTGAAAAAAATATTAGTTTTATTCAACCACTTAATAATCATACAACTCTTCATTTAACTTTCATCTATATCATCACTCTCACATTTCATTCAACTTTTATTAATCTTAATCATCATCTATTTAACTTTTATTAAATGTCTATTATGAATCTTCTTAAAATGTATCAAATAATCATCATTAAATATCTTGTTGACTATCTTAGTTAATAATTATTTGTGACATATGAATCGGCCATGAGTGGACCATTTTGTCGATGTGTGTATCCGGCCGGTGGAAAGTCCTATTTAATCGTCATAGTCGTATTTTGCCGAATTACATTAGGCATATAAAAATTTATATGATATACATGTACTTTTATTCAAGGGCATTTGTGTCATAATTGTAGTCTTATCAAACAATGTTGTTTAAGGAAATGTTGTTTAAGAAAATCAAAGACGGCCATACTTTTTGAATATTAATAGTCATTATATGAAAAAAAGTTATATAATGTGATTATGTATTTTGATAATTTGATTATAATTTATTATAGACAAAATTTTAAAAATGATCCTTATAGTTTTTAAAAAGTGATATGATCAGGATATCTTTCAGGAAATGTTACACATATATCGTTGTGGTTCTCAAAAAATTTACTATTGATCTTGTGCCTAACAGTGTTTGAATTTTTAATTAAATCTATTATAAAAAGTCTTATTTTCATGCGGGCCAAAATTGATCAAACATATATACTTCAGGACAATTTATGAAAATTCTAAATAAATTGAACAAAACCCTAGTCACCGCCTGATACAGACCAACACATTCGCCTCGATCGTCATCCACAACTTCTACCAATGATTTTATCAACAAGAACAAAGTTTAAACATAATTTGGTTGCTTTAAAAATGCTTACTTAAGCATCAGAAAATCCACCAAACACTATTATTAAGTAAAATAACGAGCTTAAATCTGAATGAAATTAGAAAAACACAACACTAAAAAGAAACACACAAAAATTATATACATGAACTAATCTTTAAAAATATGATATGAATCCATATTCTTTAAAAATATAAAAAAACATGATCCTCTTATATAAATCTAACTTTTAAATATTTCACTTTTGATTCATTTACATAGCCTAGATCTTAAACCAAATGTATTGATTCATTGAAATAGTGTAAACGTACTATTATATATCCATGGTTGTTGCAATCATCCACCAAGATGTATATGTAACATCACGCATAACATTCTCCAAATATATCAAAAGCACCATGTGTCTCTGTATAGAAATTTTGTAAATCGTTGGAGTTCTTGATTAATGTATCTCAATCATAGATATATAAGTACAAATATTTGTAAGTTTGAAATCCGAATAACAACCAAATACCTTATTGTAACTAAAGAATGAGAAAAAACGATTTTTCCAAAAAATTCAGATCGGAATCACTTCATGAAAGCCTTTCGACCTAAAATTTGAGACATAAAGTACTATCACAATAATGAAAAGTTAGTGATAGTGAAAATCTATTTGAGAATCGAGATAAAGGGGAAAATAACAACGGTGCATATGGTTAATGTTTAGTATGGAAACATTTTTGATCTATCAATGTCAAGGGATTTGAGTTACGTGGAGTGTATTGGGTTTTCTTCTTCGATCATCATCTTGAAGAGGGTGGGTTAGGGTGGATTAGATCAA